GTCACCGGTCTATTAAAACACGCAACATATTAAAGCGTTTTTGGAGTTTCTATATTTTCTACAAAACAAAGCCGGAAATCGAGGGGTTATGATGTCTTCGGCAGGCGACACAATGACACTATAGAAACGCTTTCGAAACATTCTTCGAAACATTTGGGATAATGTAAGCACACAAGTCAGCAAAATATATAACACTGTTCTAGTGGTTTTTAGATATTTTAATAAAAAAATCTTACATATTGTGCCTTTAATGGAAATGAGAATTGGGGAAGGAAAGTTCTTGTCATTAACAATCTCACAATGAAAATTGGAATATATTGTTTTTTTTTTTTGTTTTTTTTTTATTATTTTGGTTTTGTGGTCCATTATGACCTGGACATCAACATGTTCACGTATATCGCAACACAAATCTTCTCCGACCACATAACTGCATACAGCTCAATCTGTTGGGATGTTCTTAATAAAATAAAAATCCACATTCGAATGCAAAAACGTGGCATTCAAATTTTGTGCGCTCGTCAGGCAGCCTTATCAGTGGCACACGAGATGCGATGACGATGTAAGTGTCGTTGCATTTTAATGCTTTTCATAGCTTATCCAGTTGAACCCACTGGATGCGGCGCTACTACATTGTTCGTTCAAATTATTGCGGAAAAAGAGAACATCAATGCGGAGATGTTGTTTACGGCAAAACTGAAACCAAGCCGTTCACACACAACACATATTTATCGCATTTTCTAGAGGGACATCTATCAGCGTTGCACTCGCGTCTCACACGAGAGCCGCATGTTTAGAAAGCCATGTAAAATTAATGTAAGTCATCTGTTAAAAAACATGTCTCGAGACTTTATGGCAGTTTTTCCCCATCCCACTGCATCTCATGTTTTTAAATGAAAAAGTACTCTTTGTGATTGGTTTTCGGTCCTTTGTATTAAACTATACATACATACATGATGTGGTTTTGTTTCTGATTGTTTAAGCAAATTAACATTTAAAGCGACATTCAAGGAAACGGCTTGCTGTAAACAGAGCTGTTTTTGACAGGGTAAAAAGGGTGTTTTTTACACTACCATTGAGAAATTTTAACCAAACCATGTTACAGACTTCTGATGAGCCCTTTTAATTACTATGCACTTTTTTCACAGATAGTCGTGTTATTTTATTATGCTTTGAAGAAACGTGCATTAGTAATATTTTGCTTGATGCGCCCTCTTGTGGCCTCAGGAGAGAAGCCAAAAACTTTTTCCCCCTAACTGAAATTATGCCTTTTAAATTCGAATATAGATAATATTTTAGTACAAAATTCCTATTTAGTTTTTTAGCCATTTTGACAGCCCTAGTTCTTACGGTTTGGCACACAGAGCTAACAGCTTCTGACCTTCTCTAGGCCGACCTGCCCAAAGAAGATGTCAGCGTGGTGGAGGTGGACGTGTTCGATGGCAAGTCCCTGTGCGAGGAAGACAAAGGCGTGTTGCCGCTGAAGAAGGACAAGTATCTTTCAGAGGAGCACAGCAGCGGGATCGGAGGCTCGTCCTGCATGTCCTCGCCCCGCCACAGCGTGTCGGACAGTGACGAGGGCGACTCGGGCCAGACCACGGCCAGCACCGTGCAGTACTCCTCAGTGCGGGCCAGCGGCTACAAGGGCCAGACTCCCAGCCACCAGCCTCCGGCGTTCGCTCGCTCCGAGTCCACACAGCCGCTGCTGGACTGCGAGGAGCATCCAGACCATCTCAACGAGAGCCACTCCAGGAGCTCGTACTTCAGACGCGGCCGAGAGCTGGAGCCCGGCGTCCTCGCTCCGGAGTGCGATGGAGGCTCCCTGACCTTCTGTCCGGTGCAGGAGGAGGAGGCGTCTCCCGTCGCCGAGGATCCATCCGCCTTGTGTTACATGCCGCAGAAGAGCGGCTACCGACCTCAGTAAAAGACACTGGCGCTTTGGAGACGGCCCTAAGCTACTGCATCTGAATGTGCCTGTCAACAACTTTTCATTTGGCATTTTAACGATTGCAAGCTTATGCCAGATGTGTATGGTAACACTAGACCACGTGCCTTCTGTCTGACTGTTGTTTTGAACCGCATGCATGTTTCGTTGAAGCGTTGTGTAAAAACGTGGATTTCCATTCTCATTTACACCACCGGTCAAACGTTTCTGAACAGGAAGACCTCTTCTGCTCACCAAGCCTGCATTTATTTGATCCAAAGTACAGCAAAAGCAGTAATATTGTGAAATATTTTTACTATTTAAAATAACTGTTTTCTGTTTGAATATATTTGAAAATGTAATTTATTTCTGTGATCAAAGAGAAATTCTAGAAATGTAATACTTTTATTTAGCAAGGATGCTTTAAATTGATCAAAACTGATGCTAAAGACTTGTAATGTTACAAAAGATTTCCATTTCAGATAAATGCTGTTCTTCTGAACTTTCTATTCATCAAAGAAACCTGAAATAAAGTCTACTTAGCTGTTAACATATATAATAATAATTGTTTTTGTACAGTAAATCAGCATATTATACTGATTTCTGAAGGATCACGTGACACTGAAGACTGGAGTAATGATGCTGAAAATACAGCTTTGATCACAGAAATAAATTACATTTGAACATATATTCACATAGAACGCAGTTATTTTAAATAGTAAAAATATTTCAAAAAGTGTACTGTTTTTGCTGTACTTTGGATCAAATAAATGCAGGCTTGGTGAGCAGAAGAGACTTCTTAAAAAAAAAAAAACATAAAAAATCTTACTGTTCGGAAACTTTTGACTGGTAGTGTACCTGTTGCTGGTTTCTTGCCTCCAGCTCACAGCCGATTGGTCTGTGTTTGGTGAATGTGCCGTTTCGATTTCGCTCGCTTCCAGCATAGACACAGTGTTGTTTAGAAATTACGAACAATTTGTGCGAAGGTGCGTTATGGTATTGACACACATTAGTATTACTGGTTATGGTATTTCGAATATTAATATTTTTAACAATATGCAACAGAATGTCGACCCTAGCTTGAGTTAACCTTGCTTTCGTGTTCCTGGTGATAATTTTCTCTTAGGATAAAACTAACACTACATTGAAATGACAGTTATGAAATGCAGATATTTCATTGAATGCCTTGTCATGTATTTCTGTATCTCTGTGTGATTTTTGTTTATACCATTCTATCACTTAGGTGTGTATCACTGATACTAGCTCAAATAAAGACTTTATTCAAATGTTTTGCAGTCTATAAGCTTTACTACTGTTTCAGACTTTTATACCTTCAGTCTATGGGTTTTGTTTATTGGTAACAGCGGCTTCTCTGACTGGTGAGTCCCACTTCATGACTGAGTTTTTGTAATTTGTGTCCTTGAGAAACACTGTTCTAAGTGATGAGAAATGAAACAACTGTAAAACATATGCATGATTATGAGGCACATCATATGTGTATAATAGACTTCTTACATGTTACTGTATGAATTAAATCTATACTAATTCTCATTAAAGCTACAAAAGTTACTCAGTCAAGTGCAGTGACGTTCTGTTTTTCTGTTGTTTTAAATAAAAAAAAGACTTTTTGTCACATAATATAATAGTAGGGCTACATTTAAACCACAGAAACTGCATATATCATCCATAAATGAACTTCCAAACGTAGGTTGATGGAATCTGAGAGCTCTCTGACCCTCCATAGACAGCAAGGATCCTTACACGATCAAGGCTCAGAAACGTAGCAAGTATATGGCGATAGAATTGTTTTACGACGACATACAATGGGACACACTTATAGCGTTGTACAAATGCAAGAGCTTGATTTACAGAGCTTGATTTTGATTTTCAACACTGCATTTAAAATAAACTTCTAAATGTTCAGTAGTGTCTATAACAGACAACACAATTTAGTAATTGTGGTGCTTCTAATTAAGTGATAAAGAGTGCAACATACTACCAAATTATATGTAATATCTAATTATGAATATTTAACTTACACTGGAAAGGTTTCTGTAACCTCTTGTGAGAACATGATTTTTTTCCAGAACATGATCAGTGTTGCCAATTTAGCAATTTTGTAGCTAGATTCAGTGACTTCCCCACCCCTTTTGAGGCTTTTTTCAACGGTTTAGGGACAAATATAGCAACTTCTTGGACAAACCATATCTAAGTTCTCACCTTGCCCACTGATCTATATTCATCTTTATATAGCCATTGTGATGTCATCTAGTGACATTTAGCTACAGTTTTAGCTGCGCAACACTGAACATGATGCTTGATGGGATACGCTTAGCCTCGAATACTGCTCCGAAGTGTGAATTTAGTGTGCGTTAAGGCTGTGCTTTGGCATTTTTAAGTCTTGCACGCTTACTTCCTGTCGTGTGCAAACGCTCTTAAGTGGCCAGGACCACAAGTGTGAGTATTTGGGCAGGCCTTTACGGTCTGTACATCTACTTGAACACTTGGGCCAAATACAGGAAATGTGTCATGTAGGCAAATGAGTGGTTAAGCACACAGACCGCAAGCGTGGATGTTGAGATAGGCCCAAAATATCACTCACGCTAACAGGCCTCGGGAACAGGACCATGTTACAAACTGAAAGTCCATATATAAAACAAGAGAACCCCTGAAGACCACTGGAGAGACGGCCTTCACTGAAACTGTGGGCGTGACTGGATGAGCAGATGCAACTGACCAAGAAAGAAATGTAATAACTTCTTCCACTCTACAAATCAATGCACTAGCTGCAGAAATGAAAGTAGTAATTACATTTTTTGGCTGGAAAAATGCAGCAATGCACCGGTGATGACACAGTAAGCAGGGTGTTAACTATTGTGGCACTAACCCCACCAAACACAACTGGCCAAAAGTGATGTGTGGAGGTTTTTTAAAAAACAATTTTTATGACCCTACATTTCAATTAAACCATCAAAATACGAGGGGAAAAAAACACTGACCAGTGTTGCCAACTGCTTTCAATCGAAAGCTAAAACAGTCGCTAAATGTTGCTAGATTACGTCAAAATGGCGAGTACGCTCCTGTTAAAAATAATCATCAACTATCTTTATCCTCAAAATGACCAGTGCTCTGAATCTCCACGTGGTCCCTTAAAAGCTTCAATTAAAGTCGCAGTCGTAGGTTTCAACATTTTCACACAAGATAAAATGTTTCAGCAGCCGATACAAACAAATACAGAGGTGATTAAAGTAGATCCCGACAGCACTAGCAGAAAGCGTTGGCTCTTTAGGACGAGGACATCGGGGCCGGCGGAGCGGAGTACTCCTCGTTCTCAGAGTCGGTGCCGTCCTCGTCATCTTTCTCCAGGTCGCTTCCCTCGGTGCTGAGCCTGTCGAAGCCGTGTCGGGTATAGCCTTTGTGGGAGGCAAAGAAATTCCCCAGGTTCAAGCTTCCTGCAGCTTTGCCTGTGTGTGAGAAAGAGTCTTACTCGAAGCGCCTGCAGCATCTAATGCTGGGTATACACTACATGATTATCACTTGCAGACAGTATCCTGGAGATAGCTGACAAGAGTCTGAAATCAGAGGCAATTTTGCACTCATTCACGCGAGTGACATTTGCATCATGTGATCAAAGATGCGACTTGAGAAGTGCCAACTTCCAGTTTGGTGATCTTACATCATTCCCTGTATCACTTTGCACACAGAAGGATTCATCCTAGTGAAATATAGCGTAAAAAATGAGTCGCCGCCCCAGTCAAGTCAAGTCACCTTTATTTATATAGCGCTTTTAACAATACAGATTGTGTCAAAGCAACTGTACAGCATTAAATAGGAGAATAGTGTGTCAATAATGCAAAAAGACAATAGAAAACACTCGATTTTCAGTTAAAGGCAGTTCATCATTGAATTCAGTGATGTTATCATCCAGCTCAGTTCAGTTTAAATAGTATCTGTCTAAACAAGTCGACGATATCGCTGGAAATGAAGTGTCCCCAACTAAGCAAGCCAGAGGCGACAGCGGCAAGGAACCAAAACTCCATCGGAGAAAAAACCTTGGGAGAAACCAGGCTCAGTCGGGGGCCAGTTCTCCTCTGACCAGACGTTCAATTCCAGGCTGCAGCAAAGTCAGATTGTGCAGAGGACTCATCGGGTTCCTGTGGTCTTGTCCCGGTGGTCGTCTAGGAGACAAGGTCTTCACTGGGGATCTGTCTCTGGGGCTCATCTAGTTGTCCTGATCTCAGCTGACATCATCTTCATCATCTGATCTAGATACAGACTGGATCTGGTGGCTGCGGTGACCTCGGAATAAGGAGTCGCCGTTTCGTTGAGTAACGTGCAAACCACAGCATGATACCCAAAATAGTCGTGTAGTTTGAAAGAAACAGCGATCCGATGACTTTGAAAATCATGGAGTTTATAACCGGCATAAGCGCAGAAACAATATATAGTGGACACAGTGTTGGGGAATAACTAGTTACATGCAATGGTGTAACGTAATTTAATAACAAAATAAATGTAACTAATCCATTACAGTTACTGACAACAAAATGTGTATTTAAATTATAGTTACTTATGAAAATGTTAATGATTACAAAAGGGGTTACATCTGAATATTTTCTGTAAAAAGCTAGGATATGTTGAATAAAATTAATTTGTTGCTTTGCCTGTTTTTGATGTGCACGATGCCATCTGCCAATTAAAGGCCGTTTAGTAAAGCGATGCTATTCTGATGCTTTTGATTGGTTCTCGTTTGAATTTCCAGCGCAGCATGCCTACCAATCACATCAATCCACATTAACGCTGAAAGCTTTAGGCTACAACCTGTCTGAGAGGTGATTAACTGGTTAACAGTTGAAAACATTCGCTAGAAATTTAGAAAAGTAATCAAATGTAACCAGTTACATTATTTTAAAAAAGCAATTAAAATAGTTACACTACTTATTACATTTTAAACAGGATAACTTGTAATCTGTAATCTATTACATTTCCAAAGTAACCTTCCCAACACTGATTGTGGAATAAAAACTCCATAAACTACTGAACTCATAAAAACAAAGTGCATTTGTTCTCACGTGTCGAGCATGTTTGAGCTTTCCTTCGCCATATCTGATGTGCTTTCTGAATCAGTGTTTGTATGCGAATAAAAGCCTAAATTATATCTGGTCATCATATAAAGGGTTTGTGTTTCTTCTGAAGACTTTGGTTATATGACTCGATTCATATGAAGTACTTTTACGATCTCTTTATGAGCTTTTAAACTCGATGGACTTTCAATGGCGGAACAGAAATCAGTCACTTTATTTTAAGGTCCAATTCTTGCCATTAACAAACCATTAACTACGACTTTTATCTAAGGTAGTTGTTAAGTTCAGGTATTGGGTAGGATTAGAGATGTAGAATATGCTCATGCAGAATAAGTACTAATAAACAGCCAATATGTTAATAATATGCATGCTAATAAGCAACAATTTAATAGTGAGAATCGGTCCCTATACTAAAGTGTTACCCAAAAGGCTTATGGGTCTGAAATAACTTGAGGGTGAATGATGACGATTTTCATTTTTGGGTGAGCTATTTCTTTAAGAGGCAAGTTGACCATTAGGTCTCTATAGAAAATATTACTGGAATTACCTCTGATTTTACCCAGGATTCCTCCTGCTGATCCTGAAGGCTCCAACTTCACCTGACAATCATCTTAAAAGTAGAAATCAATCAAAAACAATCCCACATACAACAACACATGGAGTTAACAAGACTGTGATGGGTGAAAAGGCATATTCCACAATTACCACTGTACATCCGGCCCCTCTTCCAGCGGATAAAGGCACCGACGGCGATGACGAGCACCAATGGGACGAGCAGTAGAGTGGTGATGATGGTGGTCGACGCGCCCCGAGCGCTCTGATTGGCTGCAGTCTTGCTCGTCTCCTTCTCCTCAGGAGCTGCCAGCGGCTGCTGATGCTGCTTCTGTGACGGCTCCTGCATCTTCTGCACGCCGGCTACTGGATGCTGCGCTGGGAACTTGGGTAACGGCTTCAGATTGGCCTGCAAAAACGTTTCTGTTTCTAAAAGACAAGAAAGGGGGAATTAGATAAGAAACAAATATTACTTGCGGATTTGTGGGAATGCTTAACTGTCAAGAAAATTGGCGAAATATGACTCATGGGTCAAACTCTCAAAAGCAGTCAATCACAGAGGACATTCTAAGATAATCATTTCAATTGTTGCAATGAAAGCATCACAAAGCCTCTAAAGTCAAACAAATCCTTCAACCATCCATGATAGAGAAAGTACATTATACACTGCATTAACTATCCGTTTCAAGAGACTGCAAGGTTCACTTTATTTACAGAATTTCCCAACAATCACAATTAGACGGTGTATATACGTCTTTAAAAAGGCAGCATTAAAAAGTAAATTAAAAAAATATTGGGACACGCACCACTGTCCACTTGTGACTGGCCCAATGAAGCTCGCTGTGTCATGAAAAACGAAGACGATCCAAACAATTTACCTTCAATTTCTTGGACCTCGATTCCTCCTTTTTTAACCGAGCGATGTTCTGCCTCTGAAATGAGAAGAAAAAATCTTTAGCTTCCATTTTTGGTGTTAGAACAGACAAAATCATAGGATAAAACTGCAGGCTTGCAATAACTGATTAATGTTTTCAATGTGAAGTTTGGTGAAATAAGAACAGGAGCACAGCATAAAATGTAAACTGTTATTTATAATGAACTAAATATTTTGTGTTTTCCATTAAGACTTGAAAGTTTGATTTTTTTTGGTAAACTTTCTCTGGTTTGTCAGTTATTTCCTATAATGTAACTACTGTAATCACTAACATAGTGTAAAATATAATGTTCTGAATATTTTATGGATTTCTTGTGATGTGTGGCAAAAGGGTGAAATAAACATCGATGTTGCTTTGCCACAAGCAGGAACTACAAGAGCAACTAGGGATGCGATATTCTTGGTAGCCGTAGGTGGCAGTGTGGTCAGAGCACTGGTATTGTTGGGATTATCGTCACAGATTTCTTGTGATGTGTGGCAAAATAAAACGGATTATGATTGCACTGCAACACATTTCTCATATTTTTATTTGAAATGTTATATTGGTATATTTATACTAACATAACTTACTTGCAGACTGAACGAACTTCATTACAGAATCTGATGCTGCGTCTCCAACAAAGACGTTCCCGTCTGCTGTAACAACAATGTCGTGTGGCAATTTAAATTCCTGAAGGAGAAACAAGATATCAGATCAACATCTGAACAAGAAGAACGGGGTAAACTGACTCATAACAAGACCTTTTTTTTGGTCCTGTTTTAGGCACAATATTTTGTGCTGCCAGCCTGCCACCATACAGAATGTTGCTAATATGGTAAATCGTTGTGGCTAAAAGCAACTACTACGTAAATGTGTTCATATCCACACTAGCAGCTTTTCATGTGATCAATAACTGTGCTTAGTAAGGTCAATGACAGAGTCTTGTGTGTGTTTTGAGTGTGTAAATATGAGTTAAAGCTGTAACCAGCACCTGTGCGTCTGGACTGAAGGAATCCAGGATCTCCTTGCTTGAATAACTGATAGCAAAGCCTTGAAGGGGGGCGACCTGCCCATCTCGAGGCACTCCATTCACCGCATAGATGAGACCACCTGAAACCACACATTAACAACATACAGACAACAAAGCATTAGTATGTTTTTGAGCATACTGTATTCACATTATAAATCAAAGGTTTACAGAAAGGAGATGACGTCGACGTTCAATGTTATATTTTGTTCAAATGAATATGACAACGTGATGATCCAATACAGTGTTTCCCAACCGGCAGCACCCTGGGGTGCCGTCTGTCGAGAGCAGGGGTGCCGTGTAAAAAAAATCATTTTTTAATATTTTTAAATTGCTCAAATGTTCAGAAAAGCATCTATTATATAATTTCAATTTCTGATGTCGCCAATAATTAGAGATGCACCGAAATTTCGGCTGCCGAAAAACTTCACCGCTCAGGTTTCACTTTCACGTGGTGTGACGCTCTGTGTGTTATCGCGCTCTGTGTGGGTGTGTGCTCCGCTCAGTCGCTCCACTCGTATACCATTCATGCTCATCGGAACAGCTAAGTCCACACAAATATTGAGCCGACAGGAAACAGGATGTATGGAGCCAGATCGGCCTCAAAAATAATACATTTATAAAACAAAATTCATAAACGCACAGCACAATTTACATTTACAAAATCCCGATTCGTAAATTCAAAACACAATTCATAAATACAGAAGTAAAAGCATAAATATTTCCCCAAATGCTCACACAAAAGCATCTTACCTAAATAAATTTTAAATGTTTACACAAATATGTATATATCAAGTTCTTGAATTAATTTCCATCACACATTTATGAATGATGTTACATGTATTTATGGATCGTTGAATCTGCATTTGCAGATCATCACAGACTCAAGAAGCTCAAGCTGCGCTTGTAGTGTGCATTGTTTCTATGATCGGGTCCTTGATGTAAAGACATTTTAATGGGTACTCTTTTTTTTTTTTTTAGCACCTGATTACAATTTCTACAAAATCACATTATGATTTATATCGTTCGCACAAAATACAGCTACCCGGTTAGCCTGCTGTCTTATACACCAAAGTTGCTCAATCTGTAATGTTATCAAATAAGTGTTAAATGTCCAGATATTTCATTTAATAACAACAATTATGTAATGTGTTCTGTTGTTGTTGTTAGTAGTAGTATCAGGTTCGCAGTAACTTTTGATCAGGCATTAAAAACAGCTACCACCACCGAAGGGAGATTTCGAACACACACAGCGGAGAGATTTCAGCACGAAGGATGAAAACCACACTCAACCAGTGAGTAAAGTTGTTTTTTTATCTGATGGCATTTTCTTATAATTAAAGGTTGTTTTAGTTAATTAAGTGTGCAGTGTTACAAAGTTGTTAGTCCTCGCCAGCTTTCTTATATTATAACTGGGTGCAGTGTTACAAAGTTGTTAGTCCTCGCCAGCTTTCTTATAGTATAACTGGTGTTTGTAGGAACACTTTAGTAATCACAGGATGAATGGGCGATTAACAATCAGTAAAATAACGATTTCGATGCTAAACTATTGCATAATTTTAAATACGATTTGTAGTCAGTGGGCTCTAAAGTCACCATTGCGACCAGCTATAATCATAAGAAAATGCCATCAGATAAAAAAAACGACTTTACTCACTCGTTGAGTGTGGTTTTCATCCTCCGTACTGAATCTCTTCGCTTGTGTGTTGTTCGAAATCTCCGAACACAGCAGCATTGAGCTTCTTGAGTATGTTCAGTAAAGAGTGTTTTGATTGGTGGATTAAAAGCTCACATTGGCTGAACGGAACATCCTCCAAAAAAAGATATTTATGAATCTTAACCTGCCAGGAAGGTCTCAAAAATACCGCACACAAATTCAAAGCAGTCCACACATGTGTGATGATCTGCAAATGCAGATTCAACGATCCATAAATACATGTAACATCATTCATAAATGTGTGATGGAAATTAATTCATCAGATAAAAAAAACGACTTTACTCACTCGTTGAGTGTGGTTTTCATCCTCCGTACTGAATCTCTTCGCTTGTGTGTTGTTCGAAATCTCCGAACACAGCAGCATTGAGCTTCTTGAGTATGTTCAGTAAAGAGTGTTTTGATTGGTGGATTAAAAGCTCACATTGGCTGAACGGAACATCCTCCAAAAAAAGATATTTATGAATCTTAACCTGCCAGGAAGGTCTCAAAAATACCGCACACAAATTCAAAGCAGTCCACACATGTGTGATGATCTGCAAATGCAGATTCAACGATCCATAAATACATGTAACATCATTCATAAATGTGATGAAAATTAATTCAAGAACTTGATATATACATATTTGTGTAAACATTTTAAATTTATTTTGTGTTTTGAATTTACGAATCGGATTTTGTAAATGTAAATTGTGCTGTGCATTTGTGAATTTTGTTTTATAAATGTATTATTTTTGAGGCCGATCTGGCTCCATAGATGTAGTACAGTATTGTTTCTGTCTGCAATAGCCCTACGGTGTAACATGGTGTGGTATATGGGCAACTCTGGTAACGCTGCCCTCTCATTCATTGATCTGCTAACCGCTATGTTATGCTCACGTGTTCTGATAATAACAGCTTTCTAGGACTAAACATTATTTGGATAATTGGTAAAAAAAAAACCTACTGTTAGACCTACCAGAAAAACTAAAAAGCAATTTATTTAATTCGAAGACCTGTCATTATTTTTTATTTGTGCTATCATTATTAATTAATTAATTTATTATTTTATTACCGACTGCTTACTTGTCATTTTTTATTCATTTCAAAGTTTGAAATCAAGCTATCTCGTGCTACTGCACCAAAATTACCCCACTGTAAAATAAAAAAAACACTGAGTCACAAATTAAAATTTCCAAAGGGTGCCGCGACTAAAAAAAAAGGTTGAGAAACACTGATCCAATAAACCAACACTGATCTGCTCTGTAGAGAGATGTATCCTGCTCTCTTCACGCATACCTTGGACAGGCGAGTATGCGATGGCGAACACTTCTCCTCCAAACTGCTCTTTTTTGATCTCCTTCACAAACTCGCCGGTATCTGCCATGAAGCACTGAATGCGTCCATGGTCTCGATCAGCCACACACAGCTCCTGTTTATCGGGCAGGAAGGTCAGACTGTGCGGGATCAAGAATGAAGCGCGCCGTTTTCTGTCCGAGGAGCCTGTGCAATCAGCAGAGAATGAGTATTAATTGAGACTTAACCTGTTTAATCCAAAACATTTTTCAGACATGAAAATATCCAGGTGAGGTGTCATTAGTAACCCTTTGAAGTAATGATTATTTTTTTTAAAGTGTGTGAAAAAGTGTGTTTTATGGTTGGTCACAATTGTGACTGGTGGGATAATGTGTATATACTGAATTAACATATTTCTGCAGTCATAACAATTGTTATATATCTCAGCCCAGCTATTTGAAACTCTGTTTCATCACATTCCAGGGTTACTATTATGCATCAAAACCCTTATGGATAGGAATACTGAGATTAAATAAATAAAAATACAACCATTGACATACGCTGCATATTTGTCACACTTAAAAGATTCGGATCATCAAACAAATTTTAATATTACACAAAGATAATGCAAGTAAATACAAAATGCAGTTTTTAAATGTCGATTTAGGGAAAAAGGCTGTGCAAACCTGCCTGGCACTACGTAAAAAAATGAATTGCCCCCTCCAGTTAAATCATGAAAGAACTGTGATTAACCACATTATTTTGCGGAGTTAAATTCCACCAGCCACACGCAGGCCTGATTACTGCTCAATCAAGAAATCACTTAAAAAGAACCGGTCTGACAAAGTGAAGCATGCTTAAAGAGCAACACATCATGCCGCGATCTAAAGAGATTCAAGAACAGATGAGAAACTAAATAGTTCTGCCTTACTGATTCAACTCATCACCCCTAGCAGCAATATCAAAGTATTTCTCATTGTAAAAGTATTGTCTCTGTGCATCAATGCCAACACGTTCTTTTGAACATGAAACTATTAGGAGCTTATAAGTGTACCTGCTCCCCAGTGCGAGATATATTTGCCCTCTGGTGAGAATTTGAGGATCCTGGAGTTGCAGTAGCCGTCTGAGACATAGACGTTTCCAGTAACAGGGTCCACAGCCACATCTGTAGGCTGGCAGAAGTGTTTCTTGTCACTTCCTGGTTCAAAGGCTTCTCCCAAAACCAGAAGCTGCCGATCTTTACCGTCGCTGCTCAGTTTGAATACCTACATATAGAGAAAAAATGTGCTTGCATTACATAGTTATGCCATTTACATTATACAATGTTTTTTTTACGGATACATTATTTGTGACCACAAAACCAGTCATAAGGGTCAATTTTTCGAAATTGAGATTTATACATCTGAAAGTTGAGAATAAATCAACAATAAATGAGCTCTCCATTGATGTATGGTTTGTTAGGATAGGACAATATTTGGCTGAGATACAACTATTTGAAAATCTGGAATCTGAGGGTGCCAAAAAATCTAAATATTGAGAAAATCATCTTTAAAGTTGTCCAGATGAAGTTCTTAGCAATGCATATTACTAATCAAAAATGAAGTTTTAATATATTTACGGTAGGAAATTTACAAAATATCTTCATGGAACATGATCTTTACTTAATATCCTAATGATTTTTGGCATAAAAGAAAAATGTATAATTTTGACCCATACAATGTATTTTTGGCTATTGCTTCAAATATCCCCCAGCGACTTAACACTGCTTTTGTGCTCCAGGCTCACATTTTGGCTTGATCATTATGATGTGTTCATTTCAGTTGTATCGTTTACCACAAATGCTTTTCAAATTAAACTTTTCAGGTGATAATTCTTATTTTGTCTGGACCTCTAATAAAAAAATCATGATTACATTGGGATTTGATAGATATTAAAAGTTATAGATATTCATACATGCATTTTCTGCCACCCATCCAGGACTGTCCTGAACTTAGCCAATTTAACCCTCCCGGATGAACCTGGTTTCTCCAAAGGTTTTTTTTCTTTTTCACTTTCACATTAAGTTTCTTGAGTTCATCTGAGCATCGTTACCTGATGAAGTGCCACATCGGTCACCCAGTAATTATCGTCCTTGTCAGTAGTTATTCCATGCGGCATATAGAACCTGTTCAAACAAACATTTCATTGATGCATTAAAGATAGGAAATACAGCAAACAGCAGTACAGTGCGTCTACACTGCATGTTCTTATTATAAACAATCTGTCTATAGTGCAAATGCAGCTTCACTGATTAGAAATGGCAGAATCCCAGTCTGTAAATTGCATTGTGCAACTAACATGAATTGTAGACATGGTGCAATAACAGAATCTCATAGACTTACATATTTCTTCCTGAAGCTTTGAGCACTTTTCCTTTGACTGGATCCACCACCATGATTGTGGACTGCTGGATTGGACCCAGATCCTTCTGCTGGTAGATGCCATTCAAATTAAAGGAGCTGGAAGGGAAAACAACTTGATTATATCATCACAACATATTCTACATAAGCAGAATTCACCCCTTTAGAAGAATAGTTAACCCAAACATAAAAATAATTGAAAAGTGTTTATATGTGAAAAAAGGCATAAATGAAATCTGCTCAACATATAAAGCAATCTCATCAGAAAATTTGGATTAAACTGCTTGATTATATTTACAATGTCTTTTTAAAGCTTGAAAATGTTTGCTTGCATGGACTTTCAATGGACTGAAAAAAATGAATGAGAATATTATGAAAACATTAAAAATATCTTTAATAGTGCTCCAAAGATGAGCAAAATTCTCATGGGTTTGAATGACAGGCAAATGATGACAATTTTCATTTTTGGGTGAACTATTCTTTTAAGCTACAGAACACAATGCAGTGGTGCCACTGTCTTTAAATTACCTTTCATCACACACTAACATTGTTAAGAGTCAGACAATGACAACTTAATGAGCAAAAAGTCAGTGTTCGTTACATGTCTAGATAAAAGTTCAATTCTACATCAGTTCATCACTTCACACTTTATCACTCACACAAATTCTTTTTTTTCTCTCTGAGCTTCTAGTTCTAGTTCTAGTGAAATCTTAAATGTTTGGAGTGGGTTTATATTCTGTGACGTACTTAATTCCCCATATGTGATCTCCTCTGTGGAAGATGATCAGGTCACCGTTAGAGTTGAGAGCCAGACCAGACACCTGTCCCAGCTGCAGATCTGCCTCGGGCCAGTCTGACACCTCCACCAGATGAGCTCCTGCACACACACACACACACACACACACACACACACGCACAAGCGCACGCGCGCACACACACACAGACACACACATCACAGGTTAACACATACGTACTTCATATGAATCGAGTCATATAATCGCAGACCTTTCCCGATTCCCATCCCCCTCTCTCTCACCCACTTCGCTTCCTGTTGACCTATAACTGTCCTGTCCAAATAAAGGCATAAAACGCCATAAATAAATCTTTAAAAAAATAAATAAATAACAACATAAACAAGGTCCAAAGTTCAGAGAAAAATTATATGGATCTTGTCTGGAGGTCAAACATGTCAAAAGTCCAATGTCAATAACTATCATTCTCTTATTTGATACCTGTGTGAACTTAAGGGTCACTGTAAATGAGCACTGGAGCTCTTTTCACATTTGCGCAGTTGATTTTAAATATGGTCAAATATGTGAAAAAGGGGTCCTATTATGCTCTTTGACGAAGTCTTGATTTTGTTTTGGGGGTGTAGAACAGGCTCTCATACTCGGTTGTTCACATATTTTACATTATTACAACACCTCTCTCCCCAGTCTGGCATGAACAGCTCGAATAGTTCCTGTATCAAATTAAGGCCCGCTTTCTGAAATACGAAATTTGCTGTGATTGGTTAGCTGGGCCAGCGTGTGCTGTGATTGGTTAGCTGGGTCAGTGTGTGTGCTGTGATTGGTTAGCTGGGCCCGTGTGTGCTGTGATTGGTCCAGAGTAGTAATGCGCACGGGCTAATTTTGAGCTACGGGCAAAAAAAGCAAAAAATTTGAGATTTTCACAAAAATTTGTTCATTAAGCGCTTGTCTAGTGATCCCAGTGCTCCAAATAGTAATTAAACATCTAAAAGTATCTTTATTTGTTTGTTTTCCACGAGGAGTACCTTTTCTCCATTCGCTGCCTCTCATCCGAAGCATACACATAAAGACAACAGACATCGACGGTGCTCTATCCCGATACACACATACACAGATTTACAGTAGGCTAAATATATTTAAGTAGTCACGCAAACACAATCTGTTATAACTTAAGTGACCGTTTGGATGTGAAACATCGGACGTGTAACATTATATTAGATATTAGTCATTATATTAGTCTTAATATAGGCCATCTGTCTCATTAATGTTAATCAAACAATAAAAGAAAAGAGGGAATCCCTCGCTGCTTGATTGAACGGCTTTTGTAGTTTTAATAATCTACTAAATAATCTGGGTCAAGCGATTAGTCAACAGAAGAGACAGACGGCTGCACGTGAGTGTCCTGCGTAATACTTGGTTATAGATCTGCTGTTGGAATTATTACTTGCTGCTAAGAAGGAATATTTCGTTTTCTGCCTATTTCTACGTTATATTTTTGTTTGCGTTTGTATTTTTGATTGCACTTTCTGGTAATTATAATAACTGCCCTCGGCTAAGAAGGAGCGCGTGTAATTTAATTGCTCCCTTCCTGCGTTGAAGTGCGAACTGTAGTTTCGATTGGAGGAATTGCCCTGCTATAGACTATTGGCTGTGCTAATTAGAAGGCGGCCACAGCGACCGTAGAGTATTTAAACTGCTTGGTCACTGTCATAACTTGGGTCAAGCGATTAGTCAACAGAAGAGACAGACGGCTGCACGTGAGTGTCCTGCGTAATACTTGGTTATAGATCTGCTGTTGGAATTATTACTTGCTGCTAAGAAGGAATATTTCGTTTTCTGCCTATTTCTACGTTATATTTTTGTTTGCGTTTGTATTTTTGATTGCACTTTCTGGTAATTATAATAACTGCCCTCGGCTAAGAAGGAGCGCGTGTAATTTAATTGCTCCCTTCCTGCGTTGAAGTGCGAACTGTAGTTTCGATTGGAGGAATTGCCCTGCTATAGACTATTGGCTGTGCTAATTAGAAGGCGGCCACAGCTGTTTTCACTTTAGTGTCTTAGACTGTGTATTTATCTGATCTCTGTGCGCTGACGCGGAAGCATCAGCGGAAGCGTTCAGGCCTCCTCGTGTAGCTGGGTCAGTGTGTGTGCTGTGATTGGTTAGCTGGGCCCGTGTGTGCTGTGATTGGTCCAGAGTAGTAATGCGCACGGGCTAATTTTGAGCTACGGGCAAAAAAAGCAAAAAATTTGAGATTTTCACAAAAATTTGTTCATTAAGCGCTTGTCTAGTGATCCCAGTGCTCCAAATAGTAATTAAACATCTAAAAGTATCTTTATTTGTTTGTTTTCCACGAGGAGTACCTTTTCTCCATTCGCTGCCTCTCATCCGAAGCATACACATAAAGACAACAGACATCGACGGTGCTCTATCCCGATACACACATACACAGATTTACAGTAGGCTAAATATATTTAAGTAGTCACGCAAACACAATCTGTTATAACTTAAGTGACCGTTTGGATGTGAAACATCGGACGTGTAACATTATATTAGATATTAGTCATTATATTAGTCTTAATATAGGCCATCTGTCTCATTAATGTTAATCAAACAATAAAAGAAAAGAGGGAATCCCTCGCTGCTTGATTGAACGGCTTTTGTAGTTTTAATAATCTACTAAATAATCTGGGTCAAGCGATTAGTCAACAGAAGAGACAGACGGCTGCACGTGAGTGTCCTGCGTAATACTTGGTTATAGATCTGCTGTTGGAATTATTACTTGCTGCTAAGAAGGAATATTTCGTTTTCTGCCTATTTCTACGTTATATTTTTGTTTGCGTTTGTATTTTTGATTGCACTTTCTGGTAATTATAATAACTGCCCTCGGCTAAGAAGGAGCGCGTGTAATTTAATTGCTCCCTTCCTGCGTTGAAGTGCGAACTGTAGTTTCGATTGGAGGAATTGCCCTGCTATAGACTATTGGCTGTGCTAATTAGAAGGCGGCCACAGCGACCGTAGAGTATTTAAACTGCTTGGTCACTGTCATAACTTGGGTCAAGCGATTAGTCAACAGAAGAGACAGACGGCTGCACGTGAGTGTCCTGCGTAATACTTGGTTATAGATCTGCTGTTGGAATTATTACTTGCTGCTAAGAAGGAATATTTCGTTTTCTGCCTATTTCTACGTTATATTTTTGTTATTTTAATAGAGAATGTAAAAATAATAAATAAATACATTTTTTACAATTTGCTCATTTTGACAGTACAGGTCACATATGTATTACTCTTATCTGTATGACCAAAAATTAAGGAGTATTTTAAGTGCAAGTGACTGCTCTGGCGCCTCCATCTGTCCTGCAGTGAGCACTAATGTTCAGCTTACACACTCCACACATTTCTCTAGGTTAACATTATATTGAACGTCCATGTAAAGTTGCTGCTACTAACCGATTTCCGATGATAAGCCATAAATGAAGTCGTGGGAAGTCGTGGCCTAATGGTTAGAGAGTCGGACTCATAACCCAAAGGTTGTGGGTTCGAGTCTCGTACCGGCAGGGATTGTAGGTGGGGGGGAGTGAATGTACAGCGCTCTCTCCCACCTTCAATACCACGACTGAGGTGCCCTTGAGCAAGGCACTGAACCCCCAACTGCTCCCCGGGCGCCGCAGCATTAATGGCTGCCCACTGCTCTGGGTGTGTGTTCACGGTTTGTGTGTGTTCACTGCTGTGTGTGTGCACTTTGGATGGGTAAATGCAGAGCACTAATTCTGAGTATGGGTCACCATACTTGGCCACATGTCACATGTCACGTCATGTCATGATAGCGAGCGATAAGATGTCGTGCCCGATGTACTGTATTACCACTAAGCGGCAGCCTCGCGCTCTCTCTCGTGAAGCCAACACGGAAGTGACTTAAACTGTAATTCATCGACTGGACGCTAGAGGCGGGCTGCAAAAGTGAGTCAGTCCCATAGACTCCCCATGTTAAAATTAAACTGTAATTCATCGACGACGCTAGAGGCGGGCTGCAAAAGTGAGTCAGTCCCATAGACTCCCCATGTTAAAATGCCTAACTTTACTGCAGAAAAAAACATGTTTACATGTTTAAAAAAATATGGTTCAAAAAAATGTTTTGGTCTATATAGTAGGGCTGCACGATTAATCGAATGCGATTGTCATGCGCATTTTGTTAATAAAGTAGTTTCTGTAATCAGCAGGAAATCATCATCACGTGCTTTCAGATGGAGCAGAATTTACTACACAGAGCCGTAGTTCACTGACAAGTTATGCAAAAAAATTATAATTGCAGACGATTTTATTGCGCGATTATAAAATCGAAGAAATCGTTGGCGATAATGACAGCTGTTTGCATAGCTTGTCAGTGAACTACGGCTCTGTGAAGTAAATGCTGCTCCATCTGAAAGCATGTGAAAATACCACATTTAATAACATATTTTTACTCCAAACTCACTTCATAACGTCAGTCGAGTGTTTGAAATAAATCCTTCTGTGAGATGATGTGGCTTCTTACACAGAATAAGGCACGCAACATATTTCATAGTATTTAAGCCGTGATAAAGGCATTGCATTATAAATATACTTTATTTCAACCTGCTCCCGCCTCTTTGCCCATTTTCGATTATCCGGGAGTAACGCGCGGTGACGTGCTGCCAAGATGGCGACGGCCGCCTCCGCCCAATTTTGAGCTTCAGAAATCGTCACGGACACTACGTCCATGTTTTTATACAGTCTATGAATAGACACAGACCAACCCATTAACGTACTGTCCATCACGGACTGCGAGACCTCACCACTTCCTGTGGATGTTTTAAATTTTTTTTCTGCGACTAATAAAATTTTGGTCGACCAAGCCTCTTCTTGTCGACTAACGGTCAGTTGATTATTAGGGGGCAGCCCTAGAAAATACTATTAAAAATATATTTTGAAAAAAAACTTCTTTATTCTATCTGACTTTATATTAATGCAACACAGTAAATGACAACCATGTGTGGTCTCAACACAACAAAAGAAAACAAGGCATTCATCTCCGACAATTTTTTTTGTCTGGCATTTCATCAAGAACTCTAGGGAGCAAATTGCTGCCTCATTTTTCTTTTTCGTGAATTG